CCAGAACCAAGGAGCTGGCGCGCCTCTGCAGATCCCAGCGCTCGTACTGCAAAGCTGCCAGGGCTCGGGAGACAGAGAAATCACAGGAGTAGGGATGGGAAGCCCAGGACCCCCCACAAGAGACGCACAAGAATGACTCGGCCGAGGCTGCGATACGCGCCTGGGAGACCCTCCAGGGCATGGAATGCTCGATGAAAGAACCTACCCTCCAGGGCGGTAAGGCTGCGGCATAGACGTGTTAAAAAAACTGGCGAGCCTCGCGCCATCACGCCGCATATACGGAGAGCAAAAAGATTATATCTACGACACGCCGCCGTGGGGAACCCATTAGCGTGCAGTTGCTGAAGAAACACCATGTTGTCGCACTAAAACGAAGGAGTGCCACGCTGACGGGGTCCTCCCTCGCCTGTCCTCGGCGGGGCGAGTTCGAGGGTGGGGGGATGGCGGCGGAGGCGGCCTGTAACTTCTCTCCCCCAAGGGGGGAAGGGGACGGATGTTACCCAGGGGTGAGGGAAGGAGGGAGGCAGCGGCGGGGCGTGACGGCAACGGCGGCTGCGGTGTGCCAGTGCCGCCCGATGCTGGGCGCTGCCGAAGCAAGTTCCCCCACGGTGGCCTGCGAGCACGACACCATATACCACACGATGCCCGTGTGTCAGGCCGATGGCAGCACCACAATAGCATGCGATCACCCCGGTATGCCTGCGATCGACAGCGACAGGCCTACGCACGAGCATCGTATCAGCCCGCAAGCACCGCGACATGTTTTTTTAACAGCGAAGTGCGCCTGCGAGCACCACCGTGCGCCTCCAACCGCCGCAGAAGCCTGCGAGTGCCACAGCGTACATGCGAGGACCACAGCTCGTTTGTGATCACCTCCCTCCCCCCCCCATCCGCCCTCCGCCTGTTGCTTCGGTGCCAGTTCATGGGAGCCTCCCATACCATCTTGTCGGCTCTTGCGAATCGACGCTAGTCGACGCTACATCGACGCGAATCGACGCTAAATCGACGCTCATTGACGCCAACGACGCTGAGTCGGCGCTGCCTCAGACGCTAATCGACAATGATCGACGCCGAAGACGGACTACGAGGGCACACCAGGCTCCAACGACTTTTCATTACGGCGTGTGCCTAGGGAAGCTCGGCCCCGGGGCATCCTTCCGCCCGTGCTCTGCCAGAATACGACGAGGCCTCGGCACGGCAGGTCGAGGAACAGGCGGCACGTACGTTGGTCAAAAATAAGGCTCCCACGATTTGCTGCCGCATACCCGTCGGTCGGAAAAAGTAGGTAGAAACATGAAGTAGGAAGGCGTTGGAAATAGATTGGGTTTCCGCCCGCCTCCTGCAGAGGAAGGAGGAGGGAAAACCACTCGACTCTTGAAGTAGGAAGGCGCTGAAAGTAGATTGGAATCTGGGAATCCCAAAATACCTACTTTCAACGACCGATGGGTACTGCTGTGCGACTCGGAACGGCGCGCGAGCAGAGCGCAGCAGGCCCGGGGACGCCAGGGGTGCGACCGCGGCCACCGAGCGGCGGGAGGCCAGGCCCTGCCGGCAGCACGGCCAGCATGCGAGAGCGCGCCACGCGTGCGCACACCTTTTTGCGTCGGCGGCCAGGCAGAGGGTGACTTACGCTGGCGATGAGAGGCTTCAGCAGGGATGCCGTTAGAGCGAAGTGCGCCACCATGCAGGAGGAGGAGCAAGGAGAGGACGCGGCCGAGGGAAAACAGGGAGGAGGCAGGCGGCTCAGGGGTGCCACGCGTGCGGACACAGCGCGAGGCGAAGCGAAGCGCCGAAACGCGAGCCGTCCCTCGCCGCGGGAGGCAGCCCCCACGGCAAAACGACGGGCGCGCCTGCGAGGCGCGCGGGCCCTCCGAGAGAGCTGGGCAAAGGGCGACAGAGTCAGCTCGTGCAGCAAGGACGCACGAGAAGGATGCAAGGGCCTTGGGAGGCCATGGCGAGGCTTTTCGAGCAGGGCGCGGCCAGCGACAGTGGCCAAGGACGGGCGGAAGGGGCAAGGACACAAGGGTACCCTTGGGAAGAATGCCCATCCTTATTCGGAGGGTTCACTGTAGCCGATTCACGATCCGATTGTTGTTCACGTCTTGTTTTCGTTTTCCCTCGTATTGTCTCCAAGTCGCCTCCGCTGCAAGACAAAAGAAACGAGAACGGCCCACAAAATCGCCAAAACACTGTTTGGGTCGACCCATGATCCAGTGTACACGCGGACAGGGAGAAGGGCAGGGGAGGCGAGAAAGAAACAGAGTCCAAGCAAAGGTGTGATCCGGAATGGAGCATTGCCGAGCCCGCATGCCGAACCCAATGTCTGCACAGAGAGCGCATGTGGTGTAAGCTATGCCGTGTGGCACGCTGCAGCGGTGAACGGTTGTCTCTGGACGCCACTGTTGCACGAAACACCGCTTCGATAGTGGATGGGCCGGCACGCCGAAAAGTATGCTGAATACCATGATTGTACGAAGAGCGTATGTGGTGTAAGCTATGCCGTGTGGCTCGCTGTAGCGGTGAGGTTGTCCCTGGACCCAACTGACAACAGCGAAAGTGCATATGTGCGCCACTGTGCGTCTGTGAGACACAAACTTGCGACCCTGTCAGGAGTCGTGCTAGGAGCCTGCAGGACCACATGAGAGAGTTGTAGAGGGCCCTAGCCCGCCAGTGCATGGTGCACGCTAGGGAGTGTTGGAATGCTCCTCCTTCGTCTGCTAAAAAGCTTCTTCAGTGTCTTCTGGGGCCGGCCCAAGGGAAGCGCGCGTCGGTAGAAGATCGCCCACCGCCCCTCTCGGAGCACGTGCCGCGTGCCTTGCCCTCCCTCGGCGGCGCGTGGGCCCGGCCGGGGCCAGCTCGTGCTCGGCTCCTCCCCGGATCGACGGGCCTCCTCGGAAGCTCCTCGGAGGGCCTCGGGCCCTCCGAGGAGCCTCCTGGGACCCCTGCGAAGCCACCAGAGGGGGGGTGGGGCCTCTCGGGAGGCCACAGGCCTTCCGAGAGGCCCCGCCGCCTGCTGAGAAGGCCCGCCCCATCTCTGAAGGGGCCCAGGGACACACAAAGAAACACAAACAAGTCCCAGAGTTCCCCGCATGTTCTCATATCTTATGTGGTTTCGTCTTCCTCCCCACTTCCCATACATTTCCATATTTTCGTGGGAATCGACGATTCTTTGTGTCTGTGCTTTTTCCCCTCCTGTATCTTCACCTCCCCCGCCGGCACGCCGCCGACTCCCCCCGAGGAAGCGGAGGGGGGACGCGCACAGCCGGGGCGCAGCGCCAGGGCTCCAACACACCAGGGCTACAGCATGAACAGTCACATGTGCCGCACGTGTGCCTCCCCCGCCCCCTCGACCGCGGGCGCGAGCGACTGGGGCTCTTCGAGGGCAGCAAGGCACGTGGAGGAACCAAGAGCTGCGCAAACAAGTAAACGTTCGGCGCTCCGGGCGGAGTCTTGGAATCTGCGCTGGCCCCCCCCCCTCCCTGGCGCGCGGAGCGCGCCAGGGGCGGCGCTGGAGGCGTCGCCAGGGGGGGGCCTCAGCACGGAACGGGCTGCTCGTGCCCTGGGGCTGCTCGGACGGAGGCGGGGCCGGGGGGAGCACGGGGAGCGGTCTGGACCAGCTGGTGCCCGACCTATGCTCGGGTCGGGCATGTCCTCCTGCAGGCGGAGCTTGGAAGAGAAATCCGCCAGCCCCCTTGCGGGGCCACCAGGCTGCGAGGGTGACGATTGCAGCTCCGTCTTCCAGTTGCAGTTTCCAGTTTCCACGGTTACAGTCCTGCTTTCTGCTTCCTTACTGTTAGTTGTTGCTGTCCGCGCGAGGGGTGGGAGACCCAAACGGTTTTTTACAACGCCCTGGGAGGGTTCTCTGAATTCCTCGGGGGGCGTGGGACACATAAAAATACTTGATACTCTCGCCCCCGAGGCAATAATCCTTCGTACATTACTCCAAATTCGCGTCCCCGAGGCCATAAACCTTTGTAAATTACACAATGTGGGAGTCCCCGAAACCATAATCCCTTTTAAATTATCCGATAATTCCGTCCCCGAGGCAATACACCCGCGAAAATTATACAATGTTCGCGTCCCCGAGGCCAGAAACCCTGGTAAATCACACGAGATTCGCGTCCTCGAGGCCATAAACCCTCGTAAATGACACCATAGTCACGTCCCCGAAGCCATAAATCCTTGTAAATTGCACAATAATCGCGCCCCCGAGACCATAAACCCACGTACATTACGGAATATTCGCGTCCCCGAGGCCATAAACCCTTGTAAATTGTGAAATATTCGCGTATCCGAAACTACAAACCCTCGCAGCGTCCAGACATCCCAACACAGCTCTGGCAAGTCCCACTCTAAGAGAGGGGGGCCGGCGGCAGAGGGCGAAGCCCTTACGGATAAAAGGTTTAAAAAAAAACAAAAAAAAATGGCCAGAAGAGAACGAAGCAAGGTCAGCGTTTTTACTGTTCTTGAATGTTCCTCTTGCAGAGGGACGTGCCCGACTTAAACATATGCCACATCATCCAACGCGATCACTTGGACTCGAAGAAGGGACAGAGTGCGAGACGGAGACAGTTTCCAAGAGAAAGTTGCGCACGACGAGGACAGTCGTGACATCATCAGCGCCCGCGGTAGGATCAATGAGACAAAGCTGGTCACGCGTGCGGATGTGCACGCCTCGATCCCCAGCTTCTTGTTGATGCTGACGCCAAGGGTCTGAGGGCGGGCAGGGAGGCGACGCGTCGTGGCGAGACCGGAGAACGCAGAAGGAAAGCACGGACTGCAGGAAGGGGGGCAGACGATGCGAACCAAGAAGGCGTGAAGTACGCACGGCCACCGCAGCGGTGAAGCATCACGCACGCCTCACTGGGCAGACGTTCAAACGGTCAGGGCGGGCTCGCCCCCACCGAGAAGGACCGCCCCCGACAGCCATGATGGTGCTCCGCCCGACGTGGCCGACTCCAGAGACCCGGACGACACTGGCGCTGATCCGTCTTGGTTTACGTCCATAGACAAGCACGTCCCACTACTCGCACAGTAGCTACTCGCAAATGGCCTGGATCCGCCGCGGTGGCCTTACGATCCATTACGTCGAGGGGAGCGCGCGCTCGGTGATTCCACCAGCTTCCAAACAGAAACGTTCGGAGGTCCGCGCGGATTTCCTGGATCTGCGCTGAGACTCCCTGCCCCCTGGCGCGCATAGCGCGCACAGGGACAGCGCCAGAGGCACCGCCATGAGGGCCCAGCGCCGATCCGAGAAATGCGCGCAGGAGTCCGAAAGTCTTGAGCAGTTTCTTCGTCTTGATTCTCCTCGAGGGGGTGACTCCCAAACCAACCCCGGGGAACGCCCCCCCTTGTGGTCTGGCTCGTGGAGGGCAAAAACATGACCGCTGACACGCCGCCGTGGGGAACCCATCGGCGTGTTGCTGCTGACCGACTGCCGGACAAGCCATACACCAGGCGGTGCGTGGGCGCGGGCACGGGCGGAAAACACAGCGCACTCTTCTGCGGACCGCAGGGCGGGCCGACACAGGAGCGCGGGCAAGGCAAGGAACCGGGACCGGCGAGAAAGCAAGAAGGCGAGGAGCCCAGGAGCGTGAGGGGGAGGGGGGGGAGGGAGGACGACAGGGAAGCTCCCGACGGCAAAGCTCACAGGAGCCTCCCATACCGTCTTGCTGGTCCTTGCGAATCGACGCTGACCGACGCTGTCCGACGCGAATCGACGCTCATCGAAGCCAAATCGAGTCTGAATCGGCGCGCGAATACACTACACAAATGAAGTTCGAGGACAGACGAGGCTCCCATGATCTGCGACTCAATCCTCCCAAGCGAAGGCCCGCGAAAGTGGCGACAGCGGCGCAGCTCGCAGCCCCCGATGGGAGCCGCGAGGTCTCGAAGTGATCTGCGCTGCCCTCACCTCCGCCGTGCCTCCCAGGAGTCCACGAGACTGGCGACAGTTGTGCCCTGCTCAGCCCCCGGGGGAGTCGCAAGGTCTCGAAGTGATCGGCGCTGCCCTCACCACCGCCGTGCCTCCCAGGAGCCCACGAAAATGGCGGCAGCAGCTCGCAGCCCCCGAGGGAGCCGCGAGGTCTCAAATTGATCTGCGCTGCCCTCACTTCCGCTGTGCCTCCCGGGAGAACACGGAACTGGCGACACTTGCGCCCTTGGCAGCCCCCGAGGGAACGCCTGCCGCCGTCGACTTGGTGGGGTCTCTCTGGAGGGCCAGGTGACTCTGGCGAGGCCGGTGGAGCGGGGAGGGCACGAAACCTGGTATACGGTATCTGGAAGCCTGCCGCGGTCCGGCGGGGTCTTCCTGAAGGGCCAGACTGCACTCTTTTGGTCGGAGCGGCGCGGCAGCCAAGGGACACTACGGGGCCGAATTGGGCACTGCAGGACAAGGAGCGCGCGGGCGCTGGGGGGGACGGAGGCCGCAAGCGGCGGAGCACGCTTACAGCATGAAGTTCTTGCGCGTTTGTGCTGGAGCACAGGCTTCCACTGCAGGAAAAAGAAGACCGCGTCCGAGGAGGTGAGTGCACTCAAGTCCCAGGGTCACAATCTCAGAGCCTGCAACGGGCCACGTGACACTCGCAAGGCTGGTGGAATGGGGAGGGCTTGCAGGAGGCTGGTAGAGTGGGGAGGGCACGAAACGTGCTACATAAATATCACGGCTAGTGGAGTGTGACTGGCAAGGCTGGTGGACTGGGAAGGACACGAAACCTGAGAGGCTGGTGGAGTGAGAAGGGCTTGCAAGAGAAGAGGATGTGGAGCTTGCATGAGGAGCAAGAGGAGGGAGAAGGTGTTCTGGGAAACCCATATCGCCACCGAGGACGTGTGTGGGGGGGGGGGGGGAAGGCAGTGGCGGCGGGTCGCAGGAGCTGGGGCCCGGCCGAGGCCGCGCGGACGGCCAGAACCGAGCACGCGCGGTGGCCTTGTCCAACACTGCCAGGTTCTCCTCCAGGCCAGCGTCCACGATGTTCCTGCGCGCACGCGAGGAGGGAGGCGGAGGCGGAGGAGGAGGCGGAGGTGAAGGCGGAGAAAGAGGCGGAGGAGGAGGAGGAGGGAGGGGAGGAGGAGGAGGAGGAGGAGGAGGAGGAGGAGGAGGAGAGAGAGGAGGAGGAGAGGAGGAGGAGGAGGAGGAGGAGGAGGAGGGGAGGAGGAGGAGGAGGGGAGGAGGAGGAGGGAGGAGGAGGAGAGGGGAGGAGGAGGAGGAGGAGGAGGAGGAGGAGGAGGAGGAGGAGGAGGAGAAGGAGGAGGAGAGGAGGAGGGAGGAGAGGAGGAGGGGGAGGAGGAGGAGGGAGGAGGAGGAGGAGAGGAGGAGGAGGAGGAGGAGGAGAGAGAGGACCCGCTCGCGTCATGCCAGCGCTGCAGCGGCTTCGGAACGAGCGGAAGCACGGAAAAGAGGCCAGCGCTGCAGCGGGAGCACGATTCGGAACGAGCGGGGCCCGAAAATGAGGCCGGCGCCTCAGCGAGAGCAGCATTTTGGGAAAAATGCAGGCAAAAACCCAACTCCAGGGAATCCTGTGTAAAAACACAGCACGCGGGGGGGTGGGCTGATACTTTCAAACCGTCATCAGGGGAAGAGGGAGAGTAGTATTCATATTGAGTAGTTGTAGAGGAGGAGGAGGAGGAGGAGGAGGAGGAGGAGGAGGAGAGCAGGAGGAGGAGGAGGAGGAGGAGGAGGAGAAGGAGCGAGGGAGGGAGGAAGGGAGGGAGGCTCCTGGTTCCCCCGGGAATCCGGATCACAGGAACCCGGAAATCTGGATTTCCGGGTTCTCGGGCGGAACCCCTTGCAAAAACCCGGAAATCCAGATTTCCGGGTTACCGCGCCCCCTCCTCAGGCGCGCTCGTTTCTCGTTTTCCTCTCCCCCCTCGTCCTCCTCGTCCACCCTTTCCTTTCCCTGCCCTGCTCTTCCTCCTGCGTGGTTCTCCTCCTCCTCCTCCCCCTCCTCCTCGCCAGATTTCCGATTCTCGTGCGGGACCCCTTGCAAAAACCCGGAAATCCAGATTTCCGGGTTCCCGCGCCCCCCCTCAGGCGCACCCTCTTCCCGTTTTCCTTGTCCTTTTCGTCCTCCCCCCTCCAGTCGTCGTCATCATCATCATCATCATCATCATCATCATCATCATCATCATCATCATCATCATCATCATCATCATCATCATCATCATCATCATCATGTCATCACCATCATCGGCATCGTCTTCATCAGCATCATCATCACCATCGTCGTCATCATCATCACTATCATCATCGTCGTCGTCATCATCATCATCATCATCATCATCATCATCATCAGCATCATCATCATCGCCAGCATCGTCATGGTCATCATCATCATCACCATCATCACCATCACAACCACAATCATGAGCATCCTCATCAGCAGTATCAGCATCATCGTCGTCGTGGTCGCCGTCGCCGTCGTCGTGGGCGTCGTCGGCCTTAAGAACACCCGAACAGATCATCTTCGACGCCGCCGCAATCGTTGTCGACGTCGTCGCCGTAGTTGTCGTGATTGGTGGTCATCGTCATCGCCATCATCACCATCATCAGCATCATCATCGCCCTCGTCATCGTCATCATCGTTATCGTTGTCATTATCGTCATCATCATTATCAGTGTCTCCTCCTCCTCCCGTCTCCTCCTCCTCGCGTCTCCTCCTCCTCGCGTCTCCTCCTCCTCGCGTCTCCTCCTCCTCGCGTCTCCTCCTCCTCCCGTCTCCTCCTCCTCGCGTCTCCTCCTCCTCCCGTCTCCTCCTCCTCGCGTCTCCTCCTCCTCCCGTCTCCTCCTCCTCGCGTCTCCTCCTCCTCCCGTCTCCTCCTCCTCCTCCTCTTCCTCCTCTTCCTCTTTTCCTTCTCCTTCCTTCTCTTCCTTCTCTTCCTTCTATTCCTTCTCTTCCTTCTCTTCCTTCTCTTCCTTCTCTTCCTTCTCTTCCTTCTCTTCCTTCTCTTCCTTCCTCCTCTTCCTTCCCCCTTCCAGAAACCCGGAAATCCAGATTTCCGGGTTTCTGGAAGGGGAGGCCGAAGGTCTCCCCATGAAAACCCGGAAATCGAGATTTCCGGGTTTTGTGATCGTGATCCCCGGGTTTTTCGGAGCAGGAGGAGGAGGAGGAGGAGGAGGAGGAGGAGGAGGAGGAGGAGGAGGAGGAGGAGGAGGAGGAGGAGGAGGAGGAGGAGGGGGGGGGGGAGGAGGAGGAGGAGGAGGAGGAGGAGGAGGAGGAGGAGGAGGAGGAGGAGGAGGAGGAGGAGGAGTAGGAGGAGGAGGACCTCCTCATCCTTCCTTCTCCAACGTCCTACATATAATAGGGGTGGTGGCAAACTTGCCCCTCGGAGTCGTGCTGGAGTCGCTCCGTCAGTACAGGCACGTCGCGTGACGACCCCGGCGGTGGCTTCTGACACCGCGTGGATCGCTCAGTCCCGAACGATCGGCTCGCCGACCGTCAGCTCACTCCGTGCCGGCCGCTCCCGGGCCACTCTGCGGCGGTCGACCTCGAACGCCCGCGGCGGGGCCGCCGCCACGTCGACACGACAGAGACCTGCCGAGGGGTGGCCCGCTGAGGGTCCCGGAGACGGAAAGTCTACACAGGCACCGCCTAACCGATCCCCATCCCCACCAGCGCGGGCTGGGCCTCACTGGCCGATTTACACCCCTCTGACGGGGATATCAGCCGTTCTCTGCGGGTTTCGAGGGGCACGTCCCCGACTGAGGTGGTGCGACGGTGGGGCTCGAGATGTGAATGGGGATGGGGATGGGGATCGGTTAAACGATACTGACTACAGTCTGAGGCCTCTTCACCGTCCGCCCGCGCCCGCGGGAAGAGAGCGCACAAGGGGGGGCGCAGCAGGGGGCGGCGGGCGCACTTCTTCAGGAGCTTCTTGAGCCCCTTGCCCATGGTGCCCTCCGTGAGCTCGGTGGCGGCCTGGACGAGGGAGGACGAGGGGAATCCCCACACACGCTCGCATCGTGGAAACTAATATCTTCATTTAAGAGAACAACAGAGACATGTTGTTTATACTCCAACCCACCCCAAACAAAAAAAAAATACTAAGGTTGTTGGCCGTTCTCGGCCTCTCGGGGTCTTCGCTAGGCCTCGAAACCGTCGACTAAACCACCCACGATGAAAAACCCGCCCTGGGGAAAGGGTCGGGACTTCCGGGAACCGCAGATTGGAGAAAACAACACAAAAACAAGCAAACCAAAAACGCACGTCTGGGATGGCAGCTGCAGCGAGAACGGGAGGAGGGCAAGTCAAGAAGGGAGGATCGGCCAGCACCGAGTAGGGACATCGGGCCGAATCGGATTGCGCGTCGGACCCGGCCGCATCGCCACGGAGTAGGAGTCGAAACGGATCCACAGCGCTGGGATGCACAGCAGTACCATGAAAGCATCGGGCATCATTGGATGGGCGGTATATGGAAATCAATTCAGATCGAGGATGAAGGGGCCTAACAGCAGCAGCGCAGAAGCGGAACGGGCAAGGCAGGGCGGGATCCTCATCCTCTTCCTCCTCCTCCTCCTCCTCCTCCTCCTCCTCCTCCTCCTTCCTCCTCCTCCTCCTCCCCCTTCCTCTTCCTCCTCCCCTCTCCTCCTGACCTCCTCCCTCCCTACCCTTTCTCCTCCTCCTCCTCTCCTCCTCCTCCTGTCACTCCTCTCCTCCTCTCTCCCCTCCTCCTCCTTCCTCCTCCTCCTTCCTCCTCCTACTCTCTCCTCCCCTCCTCCTCCTCCTCTCCTTCCTCCTCCTCCTCTCCCCCTCCCGCCTACCTCCATCCCTCCCTCACTCTCTCCTCCTCCTCCTCCTCCTCCTCCTCCTCCTCCTTCCCTACCTCCGCCTACATCCTGCCTCCTCGCCTCCTCCTCCCTGCATCATTCCTCATCCTCCTCCTCCTTACTCTTCTCCTCTTCGTCCTCCGCTTCCTCCAACTACTTCTCATTATCCTCCTCCTCCGTTCAGCTTCTTACCTCCTCCTCTCTCTCCCTCCTCCTCCTCTCCTCCTCTCCTCTCCGTCCTCGTCCGCCTCCACCCTCCTCCTCCTCCTACCCTCCTCCCTACTTCTCTTCCTCCGCCTCTTATCCTCCTCCTCCGCCCCCCGCTTTCCCCGTCGCGCCTCCGCTCCGCCTCCGCCTCCGCTCTCCGCCTCCGCCTCCGCCTCCGCCTTCCGCCGCCTGCCTCCTCCTCTTCCTCCTCTCCTCCCTCCTCCTTCCTCCTCCTCTGATTCCTCTTTCCGGTCTGATCTCCTCCTCTCCTCCTTCCTCCTTTGTTTCTGTTTCTCCGGGCTCCTTCCTCCGTCCTCCGTCCTCTCTGTTCATCAGCATCATCATCACCCACTACCTATCGTATATCTCATCACATCATCATCATCATCATCATCATCATCATCTCATCATCAGCATCATCATCATCATCATCCATCATCATCATCATCATCATCATCATCATCATCATCATCATCATCATCACATCATCATCATCATCATCATCATCATCATCATCATCATCATCATCATCATCATCATCATCATCATCATCATCATCATCATCATCATCATCATCATCATCATCATCATCATCATCGTCAGCATCAGCATCAGCATCATCATCATCATCATCATCATCATCAGCAGCAGCAGCAGCAGCAGCAGCAGCAGCAGATTCATCATCAGCACTGTCATCCTCAGCATCATCAGCATCATCATCATCAGCAGCATCGTCATCATCACCACCCTGGTCCTCCTCAACCCCCTCCTCCTCCTCATCCTCCCCCTCCTCCCCCGATTTGTCCTCCGTTGTCCCTCTCCTGTGGTACGACGCCGAACGCAGCCCGCTACTCCACTGCATTACTTTTCCACAACCCTGATCAGGGCAACTTGTGTGGGCGTGTCGGATACATGATTCGGATCACAGCCATACGACCCAGCCTCCGTCATCCGATGTAAAACAACAAACAAAAACGAACCAACAATCCCACCAGCCCTCTGGGCGTAGGTGGTTCCGGGAGTTTCCTCTTCCATCCCTCCCTCTTCCCATTCGGGGAGGGGTTTACCCCTCCCCCGAACCCCCTCCCCTGGACCTGGACGGGGGGGGGCGCGAGTAGTTAGAGCGTCCAAAACGGCCTCGGCGAGGAAGCCAAAATCCTCGGTTTTACTAGGGTGTTGGCCCCATTTTGGCCTCTTGGGGGGGCAAGGTTAATTAACTCCACCCTCTTCTTTAATCGATCGCTTCCAAGATGGCCCCAAAGGGCGCCCAGGAGGCACTAAGAGGCTTCCAAGAGGCCTCCAAGAGGCCCCAAGAGGCCGCCATGAAGCCCCAAGAAGCCCCCAAGAGGCTCCCAGGATGGTTTCAAGAGGCCTCCAAGAGGCTCCAAGAGGCCGCCATGAAGCTCCAAGAGACCCCCAAGAGGCCCCAAGAGGCCTCCAACAGGCCCCCAAGAACCCCCCAAGAGGACCCCAAGCGGCCTCAAGAGGCCCCCCCGAAGCACCCAAGATGCCCAAGAGCCCCCATTGACCGCCAAGAGACCCCCAAGACGCCCGAAGAGGCTTCCAAAAGGCTTCCAAGAGGCATCCGAGCGGCATTCAACCATCCACCCAGCGTCATCATTCTCCTCATCCCTCCTTTGATCGGTTCCTCGCCACCCCCTCATCTATCCATCTGGCCTCCTCTTCCGCCTCATCCTTTGCACGGATCGGCTGTCCCTCTCGTTGCTCCCCCACTTCCCTGATCTCTTGAACTTGTCTGGACATCGTTTCTGGATGGGCTGGTGGGGATACGCGAAGCGTCAAGAATATCGGTATACATCCCCCACCCTCACCATCCTATGGAAAAAGTGTTCGACGCGCAGGTGCTTATCTTCAAACTCGACCCAGCCCCTGGCCCCGACGAGCCCCTGGGCACGAAAAGAAAAAAGAACACACAAATCGACAGCAAATACATCATACATCGATACGTTTCGCAACCCTCGCCGACTCCGATTTGGGACCCAAGCGCTCCCAGGCTGCCGGGGACGCTCCCGAACGCCCCAAGCCGCTCCCAGGTTCGCCACCAGCAGCACCAGCATCCACATCCTCATTTTCATCGTCTTCGTCGCAGCACGAGGCTTCAAGGAGCAGATGAGTTCCGATCGCCTTGGCGCGTGGACCACACATGGTTTTCACAATGGGGCTATCGCTTTGCTGGCGTTGCACACCATCGACATGCACTATAAAGAAAAGATAGAAGGCGGACCAATTTCAAAAAGGGGCTCTCGCACTGGTGCCGTGCATACTCACTTTCCAAATTGTCCTCAGCTGCGCGGGTGGATGGCGAGTCACTCCAAGTGGATCGGCCATGGATACCACCGCCACCCTCATCAGATAGGGAACCCTCCAGGGTCTGCAGCGTCCTGGGCACATTCCTGAACGAACGCCCCCACCGTATTGGTGTCTCCCCTTGGCCTCGCGCACACTCGAATACAAAGCCCACCATCTACGCCCACGTGCCCTTTCCTTGGCTGTCACGACCCAGCTTTCCAGAGTGTGCAAAAGATAGCTAACGCGGATGGAGGGCGGTTGCTCTTTCAAATGTTGTTCTCTCTTGCGACTTCCGCGAAGCATACGTCCACGTCTTTACTATTTGGCAGCGCTTCGACGGATGAGGGCATGTTCTTTTCAAAATGAAACTATCCCTGGGCCTCCTTGAAGGGTTCTATTGTTGGACTTCCGCAGAGCAATCGTCCATGAGGTTGACATCATGCAACGCGTGAAGGTCAAAATAGCGTTACCCTGGGCGTCCTTCAAGTGGTGGGAGGGTCACTTACAACAGACGCCCTCGTCTGACTGGCGGACCGACCCGCCACTCGTCATTCAAGGAGGGGCGCCCGCAGTGGACAGGAAGACTTGCATGGACATATGAGGGGTTTGGACGGGAGGGTGGATTGCAGCTTTGGTTGATGCATCTTGAGATTACTCTGGCCCTCCTCCTCCTCCCCCTCCTCCATCCTCCACATTCCCCCTCCTCCTCCTCGTCGTCCTACTCCTCCTCCTCGCTCCCCCCCTCTCGCCCCGCTCCTCCCACACCCCACCGCCCGCCGCAGAGCCTCCATGGCCGCCTTGGTGTCCGCGAACTTCTGGAAGGCCGTGAGGCTCACTTGGCGCTGAGCATCCGCCTCCCCGCTGGCCCTTCAGACGTTCGCTATCCATGTCATCCTACCTGCACAAGGTTAGACGATGGCTCCGATCCTCCTCTTCCTCTTCCTCCTCCTCCTCCTCCTCCTCCTCCTCTCCACGTCCACTTCCTCCTCCTCCTCCTCGTCCTCCTCCTCCTCCTCATCCTCCTCCCTCCTCCCTTTCACCCTCATCCTCCTCCTGTTCCTGTGCCTCCCCTCCCTCTTGCGCCTTCACTCGTGTTCTACAGGTCGAGCCTCCCACAGGCTCCTCTGGGAGCCTGTCTGCTGTGGCTCACTGCTCGACCGTCCTTCTGGCTGGCTCTCTGCGCCCGTTTTCTTTTCGGCCACATCGAGACCATCCCATACACAATCGCTGCTGTACGGGGTCCTTCTCGCACAGGACACTCTTCTCACAAGCCATGCACACACACACACACATCTATCTCCACCTGTGAAGCTGACTCGCTGCCGCTTCCCGGGGGCTGTCCTCCGACTTAAACGACTCGTAGATGCTGTCAGCATCTGCCTGGAAGGCGTCTTTTGCTGCACTGGACGTTCGCGCGGATCAGACCTACAGACTGCACATATGGGATCCGCCGGTGGCTCCCCGCCCTGAGGGAGAACGAGGCAGACCAGCAAGGTGCCGAGCTGCAACACGTCGCGCTGCGTCGGCACACACAGGCTCTACGGCCGCAGAGGATGGCGTTGGGAAGCCACGAACGCAGCGCGTCAGAGCTTCTGGCCGAGATACAGTCGGCCCGTATCATAAGGATGCGCGATGAGGGTGCAAGTGCCTTGGTCGCCCATTTCGAAGCTCTTCGAGCGGGGCGCGGCCGACGAAAGTGGCGAAGGATGGACCGAGGAGGGAAGGATGCAAGGGTACCCTTGGGAAGGTTGCCCATCCTTCATGCGGGTCGACTGTACGTACTCCACCTATTTCAATCTGGATCGATCACCCAATCTGAGCAGACCAACACAAACTTTCCAGTCTGCAGAGTTTTCGCCACCGTGCACCCTGGCGCGTTGCGGCACGGTGGAAGGCCGAGGGATGTCTGACAGGGTTTCTGAGTTCTTCTGAGGACCTCCCTCTCCTGGTCACGGAATGCCTGCATGCACCGCCCTCCCCCCCCCCCACTGGGCTTCCGCAAAAAATAAAGACCCGTGCTCCCGAGGCCACCTTACAATATACAATAGATGCGCTCCCGTTGCCACGGTCCCGAATAAAAAACATGATTCGAAGCGGAAACCCACACTCCAAATAAACTGCGCATCATTTCTGGCGTAAAAGTTTCTGAGCACGGGCAGTGTGAGCGAGGCGTGGCGACTGAGTACGTACACATATGACTGTCTGTAAACCTGGGTAAGTTCTACACCTGCTACATTACGACAATGAGGCCCTGAAGATTGGACACGTCCACCTCCCAAAACAAGCGCAAAAGCTTGAGATCTCGCCACAATTTGGACTCGAACGGGCCCGTGATACACCCCTTGGCAGCTTCCTCTTTGGGGGGGGGGGGGGGCAAATGCTATACCTGCTACATCGCAATGATCTCGGGACTCTGAAGCGAACCACGTCTGCCGCCCAGAAAACAAACGAACCAAATGAACCGCTCAAGAGATCCCCGCGATCTGGGCGCGAACGGGCCTGTGCAACATCCTCCTGGAGGTGCCAAAGAATAGTATGACTGCTACATCGCGATGACCCTGGGACTCTGAAACGAGACACGACTGTCCCCCAAAAACAAGCGAACTGCTCGAGAGATCCAAACAAGCTGGGCGCGAACGGGCCCGTGCAACACCACATAATATGCACGCAACATCGTAAAGGCCGTGGGACTCCGAAAAAGAAACGCGTCTCCCCCCCCCCCTCCCCGACCCAATGCAAGCGAACCGCTCGAGTGATCCCCGCAATATGGGGGCGCGAACGGGCCCGTGGAACACCCTTGGTCGACTCCTCCTTGGGAGCACAAACGCTACACATGCGACATCGCGATGATCTTGGGACTCTGAGGAAAAACACGTCTATGCCCCCCGATACAAGCGAACCACTCGAGAGATCCCCACACTCTGGGCGCGAACGGGCCCGTACAACACCCTTGGTAGACCACCCCGTGGGGTGCCTAACGGCATGCCTGCTACATTGCGACGATCATGGGTGAGCGAGTCTGAGAGTGAGTGGTGAGTCTGCGTGTGAATGAGTCTGAATGTGAGTGAGTCTGAGTCTGACCGGGTTCGGGGGTGAGTGAAACTAAATGCAAGTGAGTCTGAGTGTGAGCGACTTGTGAACGAGTCTGAGTGTGACTAAGCTGAGTGTGAGTGAGTCTGAGTGTGACTGAATCTGAGTGTGAGTGAGTCTGAGGGTGAGTGAATGTGAGCGTGAATGAAGCAGCAGCACCAAGTGGGCCGCGGCGGCGGGATGGGCGGACCCAGGATGGCGCGGAACGGGAGCCCCAAGGGAGGGCAACAGCGACAGTGCAGCAGACGGCCACCCAAGCGCGGGAGGCCGAAGGTGTGAGGGCACCAAACACACACACACACACTCTCACACACACGCACACACACACACACACACACACACACACACACACACACGCACCCACACACACACACACACACACACACAAACACATACATACTAGAACCATCGCGCGGCGCGCGCTTCGCGCGCGCTCAAGATCTACCTAGGCTTGATGGGCGAACACATGGAATATCATTGTCGTTTCTTGCATCCAGGGACTCTCTTGGAGGCCCTGCGCAAGCATTGGAATCGTATAGAAGGGGAACTGCGGAAACGCAAAAATCATTAACTGCCGTTCGGTATTCAACGAGTTGGGGCCCTCGAAGGCTTATTGGGTTCTTTTCTGGGGCCTTCATTGTGGTCTGTTGTGCAGGAATAGACAGGGGTGCGAACTTGGAAAGAAACGGAATGGTGGGATTTCCCTTTTTTCAGGTTGTAGTACCTGGGCTGTGGGTTAAGACGTTTTCCAGATGCAGGCCACGGTCTGTTGGGATGCCTCTCGGGGTTTTCGTGCAAAGAAAGCAGGGTGTGAGTTTGAGAAAAGAAGTCTAAAATTCCGCTGCTTCAACTCATGGGATCATGGGATCTCGATGTCAGGGGCAGCCAAGAGGACACGAAGACGATCCAAGAGAGTGACAAGACAGCGTCAGAGAGTTCAACAGCATTCCCGAAACATGTGTGCATGTGGCCCCCAAGTCTTGATGGGGCTCGAGGAAAAGGATAGGAAGTAGGAGCTCCACATTAGAAAAAAAGGAATTCTTGAAATCCCCTATCTTTTTTCAAAAGCCTCGACCTTTGAGCGTTGGAAGCGGGAAAACGTGAGCAGGCGAAAAGCGTCGACAAAAACGACTGGAAATCAACGTTGTTACCCTCTTCGGGCTCTCTCGGGACGGCTCTCGAAGCTCTCTTGGGCTGCTTTGGGGGCCTCGTGGAGGATTTTGGGGGGGCATCTCAAGGGTCTGGGGTGTGTTGGAGGCCTCTGGGGGGTCGCGGAGTCCTCTCAGAGGTCTCTGCAGGCCTCCTGCTCCCGCTCTTGGGCTCATCTTGGGCCTGTTCTGGGGTGGTCTGGAGCTGTCCTGGGAGCCTCTCCCGCAGTCTTGGGGCCGTCTTGGCCCGTCTTGGGACTGTCTTGGGGGCTTTTGGGCGGTCTCGGAGCAGTCTTGGGAGCCTCTTCGGCCGTCCTGGAGCGTTGGAAGCATGAAATGGTGAGAAGGCCGAGAACCCTTGAACAAAACAAAAAAAAAATAAAAAAAAAAAAAAAAACGATGTCAGGTTCTCCGGGCGCTCTCGGGAGGCGCCTCTCGGAGCTCTCTTGAGGTCTCTTGGAAGCCTCCTGGGAGCCTGGAGAGCCGCCCGAAAGCTATCCTGGGTTGCTTGGGAGCGTCTTGGGCCTTTCTTTGACGTTCTGGGGGCTTCTTGGGGTCGTCTTGGGCTGTCCTTGGGCGTTTGGGGGGCTCCCCGGGAGGTCGGGAAGCGCGGTACCGCGAACGTTCCGCAGATGTTCTGGGAAGGTGTGGGACCCCCGGGAGAAAGGGGCGCGCATTTGTTGATTATATATATATATACATGTATACATCTATATACACACACATATATATAGACACACATGAAGGAATAGAGTATGATCATAATAGTTTCAACAAATATATGTGCCCCCCCCCCCGCCCCCCCCTTCCCCCCAAAAAAAACTTGGTCTGGGAGCGTTGGAAGTCAGAAAACGTGAGAAGGCGAAAGAAGTTTACAAAAACCAATGAAAATCAACGTTTTTACACTCTCTGGGCTCTCGGGACGGCTCTCGAAGCTCTCTTGGGCTGTTTTGGGGGGCTCGTCGGCGCATTTGGGGAGCTCTCAGGGGTCTAGGGTGTGTTGGAGGCCTCTGGGGAGTTCTGGAGTCCTCTCAGAGGTCTCTGGAGGCCTCCTGCTCCCGCTCTTGGGCTCATCTTGGGCCTGTTCTGGGGTGGTCTGGAGCTGTCCTGGGCGCCCATTCGGCAGTCTTGGGACCGTCTTGGCCCGTCTTGGGACCGTCTTGGGGGCCTCTTGGGCGGTCTTGGGGGCCTCTTCGGCCGTCTTGGAGCGTTGGAAGCATGAACTGGTGAGAAGGCCAAGAAACCTTGTACATATGGATATATATACACACGGATAAGAACAACATCAAAATGATAACGTGACTGACAATACAACATAATAATAAAAATAAGTTAAATGGTTCTTTTTCAAAAAAGGACTAGTAAGAACATCAACAATACAAATGATAAGTATAACGATCCAAAAAGTAATATCAACAATAATACTAATAATAAACAGGATGATAATAAGAAAAATAATAAGAGTTGACATTATAAACCTGGAGGCCTCTCGGAGCTCTCGGGAGGTCTCTTGAAGCCTCCTGGGAGCCTGGAGAGCCGCCCGAAAGCTATCCTGGGTTGCTTGGGAGCGTCTTGGGCAATTACTTTACGTTGTGGGGGCTTCTTGGGGTCGTCTTGGGCAGTCTTTGGGCATTGCGGGGGCTCTCCAGGAGGCCAGGAAGCGCGGTACCAGGCGTACAGGAGATGTGAGCGAGGTGGAGGACGCCCCGGTCGGGGGCCCGGCCTATCTTTATTTATTGTTTCTATATATATATATATGTGTAGAGAGATATATCGGACTATATAGATGAACTTATGTATATATATGTATATATATATATATAAACATACATATATATATATATGTATATGCATATACATACACAAGTATGTGTGTGGACCAGCTGTCAAGCGATGGTTCCTATGCTATACGAACCGCGGCATCTATAGGGTGCGCCCAGGCGGGCCGCTGGGGCGGCATGCTAAGCTACAAAGACCCTCACGGAGGTAGTCCGTGGCTGTCCCGATGCCAGCCAACGCTAACCCCACGCACTCGGAAAAGCGGGAGTCCTTAAGCAATTTCTTGTTCTTCAGGCTGAAGAGAGCGTACCTTGGTCGGCATATCAGCTCACCCCACGATCAGTCGGCAACCAATCGTAAAATCGGTTCGAATCGGAATGCGTGTCGGATCAGGATCCATCGGCACGGAGTCGAAATCGAATCGGATCAGTTGAGCAAGAATACACAACAGCCCCAATGCGAGCATCGAGCCGCACAGGATCGCCAGGAAATCGGAACGGAATCGGATCGAGCGGGGAGAATTCGACATCGAGTCGGATCGCCCTAATCGAAATGGTCAAATGCGCGGGTGCAGAGCCCAAAGACCAAAAGGATCGCATGTCACCGTCACTCGAATCGCGAACCATACATGTCGTAATAGCCATCTCAATGCATACATGTGTGCGCGAACGAAGCAGTCGTGTGGTCATATAAGCCAACCATGGCGTGATTGTGTTCTGTCCGTCGCTCATCGGTCCATCAATTCAGTATGCTGTATATGCGTCCAACCATCCCTCGACGCATAGACTTGCGACTCCGATTATAAATCGCCATCACCACCAGCGCGATCTCGATAGCAAATGGCCAGGGTTCCCAACCCGTTCTCTCTGCTAAGGGAACCCAGCGGGCGTCTCAAGCAGCAGCAGCATGGTCTCCCACACAAGTCAGCACGTTGCCTCAGAGGTGGCAGCGGATAAAAAACAGCATCACAAGAATGTGATGGAGCGGGACAGCGCAAAATTCCAAGTGCTGGCAGATCCTCGATTGACATTAAGACAATATCGGAGTCTCCACTACCCAAAACGAACTGATGCAGCACGACGGTGGGCAATCGGACAGCACTCTCTGAGCAACAGAACGGATACAGCACTCTCTGAGCAACAGCACTCTCTGAGCAACAGGAAAAAGCTCTCGAAGTAACAGCAAAGTCCACAGACACAAAGAAAGATGCCCCTGGGAAGCGCGTGTCAAAAAAGATGTAACCAAAGCATGCATCCTACTGCGAGGTTTCTCGCATGGGGCGACATCCATACGCCAACAGGAGCCAACTGGACATGCATCACTTTCACAGGAAAGAAACGCGAGCGGGCCTTGCAACAAAGACGTCACCGACTCATGAAAGGCAAGCGGCCCTGTAAATGGATTACCGCGCGTTCCGCGCAGCCGCCCACCCACCACCGCACGCTCGAACCAGCCACTGCTTCCACAATTAGAGTCCAACATGATTATAATTGTTCACGAGCCGCTACCACAAGCCAATCGTCATCTAAGCCGATGTCGAGACAGTCTTGGGCCTCGGGCGCTCATAGTCTACGCACAACATTGCGTCCTCAAAACCGAATGTGCATAGATATGGGTGTACTCCGATGCTGCGCTGACGGACACCTACGTAAGCCGATGTTTGCTAAGCACGGGGATCTGTCTGCTGATGTTGTGGAGCCTCCTGGTTTGTAAACCACCTGATGCCGCCTCCTGGCGACTGCAAATCAAATCAGCTCACCCCCGCTTGCTGGAGGTGGAAATGAGTCTGAGATACCTGGCGGACCTACACCCCATGTTCCCACTCCCCGGAAGTCAAAACTACTGTTCGCATGGGGGTCCACGAACGCTCCTTTCCACCCCCGGAGGCCTCCATCCATTTTCGGGCGCTCCAACACAAGACGCCATCCAAGATGACTCCAAACGTTCCTACACGGCCACGGGGCCCCAAGACGGCAGCGAGTGACCAGAGAACCTCGAAACAACACCCCCAATAACACAACATCTTCGAAACCGTTGCTTGTGCTTATGCTTACATTATCGCCTGTTCGTTGCCGATGGGTTTCCGGGTCCTGAAGGTGGATCCGAGACAACCCACAAGAGCCCCAAGAGGGGGCCAGAAGCGTTCCAATATGGCCCCGAAGGCCCCCATTAGCGCACCAAAAGCGTCCTAGAATGGCCCGAAGGACAGCTTTCGAGTCCCACGCGGGGAGCCCTGATTTAGGACCCCCTCCCTTTGAAGACCCATGGCTTCCATGATGGCTCGGACCCCGCGGCCCGAAAGACGACCCCAGATATTATCCTGGCGAAGGACCCAACCATATGCAGGTGTGGATACCGCAATTGAGAATATCTTCTTCGGTGAAGCTCCCTATGGGGCCACGAAGCGCTGCTTTGGGTGGGAGGCGACGCATGCGGGCGGTAGCACTGGGGCCGTCGGTGGAACTCCCTATGGGGCCACGCAACGCTGCAGTGGGTGGGTGAAAAAAAACCCAATTGGGTGTGTGTGTGTGTGTGTGGGACGCAGGCGGGCGGTCTCACTGAGGGCTTCGGTGGAGCTTCCTATGGGGCCACGAAACATTGTATTGGGTAAGGGAAAAAATGCCAAATTGGATGTGGGGGACGCATGCAGGCGGTCCCACTGGGGGCTTCGGTGGAACTCCGTGTGGGGCCACGAAACGCTGTACTGGGTGGGTGTGCCACATTACGGTTTCGGGACGCACGCGGACGGTCCCATTTGGGGCTTCGGTGGAACTCCCTCTGGGGCCACGAAGCGCTGTAATGGGTAAGTGAAAATGCCAAATTGGGCGTGTGGGACGCACGCGGGCGGTCCCACTGGGGGCTTCGGTGGAACTCCTGATGGGGCCACGAAACGCTGTACTCGGTGGGTGAACATGCCAAATTTGGCGCGTGGGACGCATGCGGGCGGTCCCACTGGGGGCTCCGGTGGAGCTCCGTATGAGGCCACGAAACGCTGCACTGAGTGAGTCAAAATGCCAAATTGGGTTTGCAGGACGCATGCGGAAGACGAAACGCTGAGCTGGGTGGGTGAAACGCAGGGACGAGGGAGGAGGGGGCCACGAATCGCTGCACTGGGTGTGCGGGACGCATGGGGGCCGTAGCACTGTGACCTTCGATGGGGCCCCGTGGGGCCGCGAAACGCTGCACTGGGCGGGTGAAACGCAGGGAGGACGGGAGGGGAGGGAGGAGGGGGAGTGAGGAGGGGAGGAGGAAAGGAGAAGAGAGGATAGGAGAGGGGAGGAGAGGGGAGGAGAGGAGAGGAGACGAGAGGAGAGGAGAGGAGAGAGGAGAGGGGGGGAGCGGAGGGGAGGGAGGGGAGGGAGGAGGGGAGGAGAGGAGAGGAGAGGAGGAGAGGAGAGGGAGGAGAGGAGAGGAGAGGAGAGGAGAGGAGAGGAGAGGAGAGGAGAGGAGAGGAGAGGAAGGAGAGGAGAGGAGAGGAGGAGAGGAGAGGAGAGAGGAGAGAGAGGAGAGGAGAGGAGAGGAGAGGAGGGAAGAGGAGAGGAGAGCAGAGGAGAGGAGAGGAACGCGGGGCATCGTCTCTTCAAAACAAGGACCCAACACCACAGGATGGTCGAGAAAAAACAGGAGGTCCTCAAAAGACCCCAAGCCTGTCACAAGAGCCCTCGAAGATGATTCCAATGGGCATCCGAGAAGTTCCGAGAGATGTAAAAGTTCAGCGTTGGTGGTGCTTGCAGTTTCACTGCATCGCCAGGACATTCTGGTCGGTTGCGGGGGATACTGGAAACGCCCAGAAGTAGATTCGCCCATCTAGATGTCGGAAGTCGGGGGAATGGCGCAAGCCTCATGAATACGGAACTCACGAGGCATACGTGACTACGTGCTTGACATAAGACGCACCATCCACAAGGGCACACTGTACGAAAACCTGACGCATCTCAGAAACACGCAAGTAAGATCAACATCGAGAGCACAGCACACGGAACCGCACGGCACTCGAACTCACCGCTGGGGCCCCACACGCCATACCAGACGAGGCCACGTAAACACCACGCGACGAGGCGCCGACTTACCACCAGCTCGCCCCGCACACGGCACATGGCACAGCGCGCAACGCGGCGCCAAAAATGGCACCACAACAGATCAAACTAACCTACGTTTGGGCACGGCATCACGTGACATACAACAACGGGGCAATCGTGGCACTTGGCACCAGCTAACAAACAACACACAACATCGGAATATAGCACGGGGCCCCACGCAAACAAATCGGGCGTCGCGGCTCCACACATGGCGCCACGCCACAACATCGCACTGCACCATACGGTTGTGAAAGCCAGCACACAACCTTACCCCGTGGTGCACCCACCCCGCGTGCATCAGGTGGCAAAACAAGTTGGCCCAACCTTGCCAGGAAAATGACGGCGCTGGCGCCGTACATGAGATGCGCGCATGTGGCACGATTCACAAGACAACATTACAAGGACGAGGAGCGAGGGCCCAGGCTTGAGGAAGACTTGGGGGCCGAAACGAAAGGCAGAAGAAGGACGCGCGGTATGGGGGGGAACGTCAGCGCAGCAGCCGCAGAAGGAAGGTGACATAGGGCAGGGGACGACGACGAAAGTGACGGGAGGAGACCGAAGAGTGTTGCGTTTGTCGGTAGCGCGCCAAAGGTACAGCGTTGGCTGTGCAATGCCGCCGCCGTGCTCGGATAAACGATTGAACCTGCTGGTAGTTAGTGCAGGAAGCGAGCAATGCCTAACGCGGCCGCCAGCTTCGCAGCCCCACAGGGATGGCGAGGTCACCTGGTGGTCCACGCAAGACGTCATTCCGCTGGACAACAGCCCCCGAAAGTGGCGACCGAATCGCAGATCGCACCCACCCCTGATGGCGAAGTCCCACCTGAGTCTGGGTAAGACGTCACCCCGCTGGACACATCTGAAACGGGGTAAAATGTCACTCCGCTGGACCACCCAGCAACCCTCAAAGGTGGCGACGGTTCTGCAGATCGCAGTCCCCCAGGGACGGCGGGGTCTCATCTGAATGCGGGTAAGACGTCACTCCGCTGGACCCCCCAGCAGCCCCCGAAAGTGGCGACAGTTCTGCAGATCGCAGCCCCCCAAGGGTGGCAAGGTCTCATCTGAATCTGGGTAAGACGTCACCCCGCTGGATCCCCAGCAGCACCCGAGAGTGATGACTGTTTCGCAGATCGCAGCCCCACAGGGCTGGCGAGGTCTATCTGGACCTGGGTAAGACACCACTCCGCTGGACCCCCAACAGTCCCCGAAAGTGGCGACGGTTTCGCAGATCGCAGCCACCCAGGGAGGGCGAGGCCTAAACTGAGTCTCGGTAAGACGTCACCCCGCTGGACCCCAGCAGCCCTCTGTCGATTGGTGTGCATCTCATCTCCGTAGCTAGCCTACAGCTCGAATTAAGGAGAGAAAACAAGCTTCATCTCTCAAATTACATTGCAGCGCGACTATTTGTTCAGTGGCACCTCTAGTGGCAGACTTGATGCTGCAGGCGAATCGTTCTGATCATTCCTGTCGGGAAAGCATGACAGCCCCGTAGCTCGCCTGCAGCCCTAGTAAAGTAGAGAAAACCAACATTGTCTCTCCAAAAAAATGAAGTGCAAATAATTGTTTGGTCGCAGCTCTGGTAGCAGACCAATCTCAGGCGTCTAGATACTGTAGACTAGCGCTCATCAGCATGTTCTGTTAATTGGTGTGCTTCCCAATTCCGTAGCTGGCCTGCAGCTCGATTGAGCACACCTTCGTCTCTCAAAAATTGCAGACTCGAAATAAGTTTCTGTTCCAGCTCGGGTTACTGTAGGCGAATGTTCCTGAGCATTCTCTTTTGAACGGTGTGCTTCCCAGCCCCGTAGCGGTGGTACAATTAGAGTCAAACAGAGAAACCCAACATCGCCTCTCAAAACATTTAAAGAGTAGAAGGATGCGTTGGTCACAGCTCTGGTAGCAGACCGATTTCAGGCGTCTATATATTTCAGACTAGTACTTAGGATCATGTTCTGTCGATCGATGTGCCGAACAGCTCTGTAGCTCATCTACAGCTCGAGTTAAGTTAAGAAAACCGACAGCACCTGCCAAGATGACACTTAACACCCGGTCCCGCCTGAGTTATTGATAGTAAGATCCACCCGATCGACCTTAGATCGAAACGGCGAGCTGGAATGAGATCAAAGTACACCGAACAAATATTAGAGCTACAACAAATTGCTGACTTTCGAGAAAATCATTTTCCACCGACCGAAAATCACTTCCGTCGTGATTTGTCGAGCCAAGTAGCCCGCCAGCGTCGTCGAACTCGGCGCCGCAGGAAAGCCGTCAACCGTCAACCAGTTTACCGCCGGAGACCTCGTAGAGCTGCGAATGCACAGATGAGTGCTGTCAATGCAGATAGCCAGCTCACTGAAATATCAGCTTGAAGCGAAGAAAGAAACGTGCT